ATACACACACACACATTCATTTTTTTGAAGTATGCAAAATGTTCAGAAACTTCAAACGTCGACAGAAATGTAAAAATTTTCAATTTCGATTTTCGGCCCATTACAATAACTTACACTATGGGAAGTTAAAAAAGGTATACTCTAAATTGTATTGCAAAGAATTATAGCGTACTTAGAATTAATTTTAAAAGAAAAAGCTCAAACATTAATTATTAAATATAACTATGTATTGTACTCACAGATTTATACGTCTGAATCTTATAAAAATTATATGGGAATATTTTTGTATACAGAATTGAAATCTTGAAACGTAAACTACCCTTCTATGTTTATTTATATGCTGATTGAATAAGACCACAGATGAATTATTAGAATTTAAATACAATTGAAAATCGTACTAAAGCTACAGTAGCTATAGATTTATGGTTGGACTGCAGCCAAATTATTAATTTTATATTTTGCAAATGAATCGAGACACTTTATTATACATTATAAATTATGAATTTTTAAATTATCATAAATCATTTTAAACAATAAAAAAATAAAATGTTTTGATGTGGAATTTAAAACGGAGTACGCGCGCAAACAAGATTGCTCTGTATTTCTCATACGTAAGTACCTAAAATTAATTCACAACATGTACGAAGCGTTATTCAAATCGTAAATTTAGTACAAATGGTTATTCCGACAATAAAGATAAAGAAAATGATAAAATATTATAATCAATGATCAAAAATGCATAATCAATCAAAAGTTTCAGAGAGAAAAAAACAAAACACTTAATAAAACATTGCATACATTTTTTTAGATAAATTGTAATTTTTTTACATACAAGTTTCAACAGATTCACTAATTTGTAAGACGCAATTTTAATCAATCATAAAATTCTATACAAGATTAGAATATGAGTATTACATTCGAAATAAAACCATAATTATCATAATCATTCTTTTAATTTATTCCGGGTACAAGTAACATTAGAGAATAATCCGTCCCGATGAAATTGCGCCAACATTTATTACCTATTTGCTATCGACTCACACTTTGAGAACCGTTCATGTACGCGCAAGTTTGTGCTATGAGCTTTCGAGTTTGAAGTTCACAAGTAAGAGCGCGCAGGGGAAGTGAAAAGCAAAATCGATTACACTCTCGCTCTCAATGAACTCGGTATTCGCTAACGGTTCTCAATACACGCCAAAAATCAAATTTAATAGGAATTGTACTGTATTTCGGGTATATTAACTCAAAATTATAAGAATATTAGATTAATTTAAAGTTGGCAAAACGTATGCATTTGACAAGTAAAACTATAGCGGATGAAATTGTCTCGCGAATCTGGTGAATAATGTGCATCATTGATTATTATATATTTAATTTATTATAAATTTGAATTTTCAGAAAGTAAAGGCAAAGTTAGTAATATAAGCTTTTGAAAATATAATTTTGCTACTTGGAAAATATTATACGCTAAAGAAAAGTGAGATAACGATCTTAGAAAGATAATTTTGTTATTTTTTGTTTATATATATATATATATATATATATATATTATTTATTTATTTATTTATAAGGGTTTGAATTATTAGTATGATTATATCCTTGTTGCTAGAAAAACAAAGGCAGTACTTCCAAAACATGAAAAAAGCAAATATTATCAATCGAGTAATTGATAATTCATCCAGAATAAGCATTGTATACGACTATTTACATTTTGCAAACATAAAACACAATAACGGTTGAACCTGCGCGCCATTATTAAATTCGCTCAGCATTATCTGATATAAACAAAAAAACTATGGGAAAATCTATACATTCATAGATAGGCAGTTGAATATTTTAAATTTAAATATTATTTAATTTTACCGAGCAAGATATTATCTATTGTTATCGAAAACCTATCGCAATTTCAAACAGTCACTCACTTTGAATAATATAACAATATCGTTTAATTAGTTAGCACAAAATAATCCAAAAGATGCCATAATAATATTGTCACAAACTAAATTTATTTTATATCAAAATAAAACAAATAGAAGATGAACTATCATAACACATGAGTCCTTGCGATTAAAATAGTTGTTAAAAACCTAGTTCTAAAACTTTCGAATAGAATTTTCAAAATGTTTGCAAATGTTTTACTAACCTCCCTTAGCAAATTTTCCTGACATTAGTCCAATCCCATTAATAAATGATTAGAAGCCCTTAAATACACCATATATGCAATATAATGCCACTTCTGTACTACGCTGGCACAACACACATCACTTTCCAGCGGTCGGAACCACACTAAATTGCATTCGCATGGTTCCCTTACAACTTGGCCCGTTCGGGTGGCCCGTTCGGGTGGCTTCGTGCTGCTCCGCTGCAGTGTGACAGCTGCCTTTTACTCAGCCAATGTGATCGCTCGCTCCTCCAGAACACATGACTCATACTATAGAGCAAGAGCGTCGCTCTTCGGTCGGTTGTTTATGTTTTCTTATTTCTTTGCGTTCGGCACAGATGTCAAAATTTTTACGCGGGAACGATAGAGCTTTGCCCTGGAGAACTTACAACTGCTACCTTATATATTATTCTTATACATATACCCTATACAATAGTCTTTTTTTCACTCAGTGCACACATCGACTAACTCCACTTTTTGAAAAAACTGAGATATTAGTGGAAAAGAACTTGGTATAATCATAACTTTTTATGATTATAATAATTTTCCAAAAGAATGAAAATTGCCAGTGTGAAACGAAAATTTTTTTTGACCACTGAATCCATAAGTCATTTATTTCAGAAGACATTTTAATTAACTCCATTCTGTAGTGTATATGTTCTGGTTGGGTTGGATTTCGGGTTTCAAATTCATGAATTACGAATAAGAACACAGAACTGTAGCGTGTTGTGGGTCTCGAAAAAAATTCATCTAGTTTTATAAAAGACATCGAATACGTTACAAACTTTGAAAAAATAACATTCTAAAATTCGTGTACCCGGCAAAACAAGAATATTAAAACTGCCTGAAGTTTATTGAAACTTGTTCAAAGTACGGAAATAAGAGCTAACTTAATTAAAAATAAATTTCTGGTCGGTGAAAATAGTTATTAATCTATTAACTCAAGATTTTGTTATTATTGAGTCACATGCGAAAAAAAATCGAGACATAATTTTACCAGATAGTTGATACAATATAATAAAAACATTTAAGAAAAAAGCACCATTGTAGCTAAGCCGAATGCTTCACTAAGATTTTTTATCTATTTTTTATTTATTTAGAACAATAAATCAATAACAGAAAAGTAACCATCACAGGGTATCCAGATATTTGGCCTAAAATGCGCTGAATTTAGAATAGAAAGGTCCAAACCCAACGATATACAATTTAAGTGTGACTGCAATGAAGATCCGAATTTTAAAAAAAATTTAAAGTTTAAAAAAAGTTGAAAACTTGATTAACTCCACAAGTCATATCAAAACTTTAACTTTAATGATAATTATTTTCTGTTTCTGTCTTAATAGTTATAAATCTTATATACCGTCACATGTAAGCTATATATGTATTTATACGTTCTAAAATATATTTTTCAATTTATATTATAACAGGAATTTTTAAAAGCAATATACATTACTTTATCGCTTTTCTCCACTTTCTGACTTTCGGAGTTAGTCGATGTGTGCTCTGAACGGCTCACTTAATTCCGACGTTCATTATCTTGTGCAATATCAATATAATAAAATATTAGCGATTCAAATATAAAATTATATTTCCACTAATTTACAGAAATTGTCTGTGTGATTAACATGCACGTTTTTTAAGATCTAACCATAATTTGAAAAAATATCTTCATACGCAGCTGTTGATTCGTTACGGAAATCACAAACAATATAGTCAAAAGAATAATTGAATACATTCAGATGTGTTTATTTGTATCTCAATGTTCTAATAATTAGATAACAAGCCATTGTATAAAGAGAGTACTTAATGGTTTATTTTAATTGTATAGGGTTA